CCACCAGCGCTGTCATCATCCTCCCAGAGCTCTCTATGTTTCCAGCCAGCAGGCCGGGGTCCATACAACCCACTTGGGGTTTCTCATGGTTTTTCTGGTGGCTTTACTCCTTTCAGGGAGATCGATGGTTGCTCAACATTTTCTGCTGTTGCAGGTCAATCCAGGCTTACACTGAGCAGGCAATAAAACATTTGAGGAGCAGCAGCTGCGAGGTGTCTGTCCGCCTCTCCCCCTCTTTAACCTTAATCCAGGAACAGGCCAGCCCTTTCCTCCTCACCACAGCTTCATCCTTGCTCGAGGTGATGCTGTGCTGCCCTCCCTGGCTGCAGGGCCACCACCATGAGGGCAGGATGGCAGCACGGCCAGGCAAGCGCTATTCCAGAACTGATGAGGAAAGAAACGAAGGTGCTGGCAGACCCCCCTGCCCTGCCACTGCCATGTCTCTCATCCTCGCTGGCAGTCACTCTATCCCATCCCTGGTACCAGGGCTCTGGCAGCACCATCCATCAGCACCAGCTGCTCACACTGTCCATCCTGGCAAAGGCAGAGCAGGGAGGGGAGAGACTTGGGTTTGACAGGGCCAAACCTGCTTTTACCTGTGGGTCATCGCGTGTCCAGCAGCCAGTTCTCAGTCTGCCAGCTCTCTGCTGTGACCGGGAGAGACCTGCAGTCATGGGAGGCCTGGCAGTGCAGCTCTGGTTTGATAGGAACACTGTGGCAGGAGTGCAGAAGAAAAGGACCCAGAAACACCTGACTCCCCCACAGCCGTGGGTCAGGCCTGCCCCTGAGCAGGAGCCAGGGCCAGTGGGGAAGAGCTATCTAACCCGCAGGGCCAGGGCTCAGCAGCCAAGTGCTTCCCGAGAGCACATCCCTGGCAGCGCCATAGCTCTACATGGACCCTGGCAAGCAGCAGAAAACAAACTGCTGCTCGTACCCCGTGGCTGCTTCCCCGGGCTCGGCTGCCAGCTCCCGCATGCCAGCGCGGCTCGAGGGGGGCCGGGGCTCCCCGGCGGGGAGGGCTCCGGTGGTACCACCCCTGCGCCTGTTCTGCCGAGGGGCATCCCCGGTCAACGCCAAGTTCAGGTGACCAGGGCTCCGAGACGGGCACGAGCGAGCGACGATAGGCTCTTGCCTGGTGCTCTGATAAGAAAGAGGAGACATTTAACACCCTCCCCCCGGAGTGCTTTCCCCTTCGCCTTTCCTCCTGCTGTGGCTTAATTTCGTCTTTAGCCCCCTTTTCCCTTAGTGAGATCAAAGGAATCCATGGCACCGGGCATATTTCATCGGAAACGTCGATTAAAGGGAGTGGGGGAGGCGGCGCTGGCGGAATTAGAAGAGGAGGAGGAGGAGCAGGAGGAGAAAGAGGAGGAGCAGGAACAGGAGAAGGAGCAAAAGGAGGGGAAGCGAG